GAGAGGAGAATGGAGGAGAAAGGATTGCGGCGTGGCCATCTCCCCTGGGGGGGGGTGATTTCTCGCTTTCTATCTCTCTGTCTGTCTCTGTCTGTCTGGCAAGCGCACGTGCCCTATAGTAAAAACCTCTCAAAAAAAAAAAAAGTTATTTAAATGAGCTGGCAGGTGGCATGGTAGTTAAGGGTGTGCAGGACTCCCATATGGCTCAGTGGTTTGAGTCCCAGATTTGGTGTCTTGCTTTCTCACTTTCTCTCTCTCTCTGTGTCCTTCTTTGGTAAAATTAAAATAAATTAATAAAGCTAAATAAAACAATTCTAAAAAAAGATAGAACTTTTTAAAAAGAGTTATTTATTGAATGTATTCTTCTTATTATTTTATAATTTTGCTGGGCCAGCAGGTGGTGTGGTGGTGGTTAGGGTGCTAGACACTCCCATATGGTTACTTATGGTTCGAGTCCCAGACTTGATGGCTTGCTTTCTCACTTTCCTTCTGTGTGTCTGTCTTTTTCTGGTCAAATGAAAATAAATTAAAGAACAGGAGCCGGCAGGTGACATGGTGGTTGGGGATGCTGGATTCCCACATGGCCAACCATGGTTTGAGTCCAGGACCTGGCGGCTTGCTTTCTCACTCTCTATTTCTCTCTCTCTGTCCCTCTCTGGTCAAATTAAAATAAATGAATAAAAATAAATAAAATAAATAAAGTTAAATTTTAAAAAAGGAAAATGGAAGAATAAATAAAATTATTAACTCTTGAAAAAAAAAAATCTTGCTACAGGGCATATGTGCTCACCAGAGAAAGAGGGAGAGAGAGAACAAAAGTTAGCTGCTAGGTCCAGGATTCGAAATGTAGTCAACCATGTTGGAGTCCAGCACCTTACCCAGCATGCCACCTGCCTGTCCAAACTTCTACCATTTTTTTAATAAAGAATTATTATTATTATTATTATTATTTAATTTGACCAGAGATTGAGAAAGAAACAAAAAGTGAGAAAGCAAGATGCCAGGTCTGGGACTCGAACCACAGTTAACCATGTGGGAGTCCAGTGCCTTTAACTACCATGCCACTTACTGGCCCACACTTTACCATCTTTAACCAGCTATGAATTTATTCTTAAAAACAAGCAGCCTGGGGCCAGCATGTGGTGTGGTGGTTAAGGCTCTGGACTCCCACATGGGCAATCACAGTTCAAGTCCCAGACCTGGCAGCTTGAAAATCATACCATGTGTGTATGCATGCCTCCCCCAGATTCCAGGAGGAGAATGGAAAAAGAATTGAGGTGTGGCCATCCTCTGGGGGGGGGGGGGATTTCTCGTTTGACTCTCTCTCTCTCTCTCTGGTGCATACATGTGCCCTACAGCAAAAACCTAAAAACAGAAACAAAACAAGTACCTTAGCCAAATGCCTACCTCTTACCACCACGGCACTAGAAGAAGGGGATCATGCAGGAGTCTCAGGGGTGGATTCTCGGTTTCCAAAGAAAGGAGCACCACTGTTGGTGGTGGGGTCTATTTCTAGCAGTGAAGTAACGGGGACTTGGGCGAGAGTACTGAAGGGTGAAGCTGACAGGTGGTACCTTGGTGAGCGGGTCAGGTGCAATGTTCAGGTTTGGCTGAGGTCTCAGACATAGGCTGAGTCTGGGACTTTTGATACCAACCCTGGTTCCTATGGTAGTAGAAACTCAAAGCACAACACACTGCCCTAGCCCTCCTGTTATCACCAGTATTGTCCTCACCGCAGCTGCCTCAGCAGTTTGGCCAACCCCAAGTCTTTCATTGCCAACCGAGGGGAGAGGGCTGGACAATGCTCACGTCTTACATGGGGTAACTGGACACCACAGGTGCCTATAACAAGGGCGCGGGTGGCCCCCGTACACCCAGCAATCATACTTCACAGACTCAAGGGCCCGAGGAAGCGGGTAGTCCCGGTGAGGTAAGCCCTCTACCATGGGAGTATGATTTGGATTCCCAGAGTTGGCTGCTGTGACACACTGGGATCTTTGTCAAGATGCACCGGTAATTCACACCCACAGGAGGAGTTCTCTGGCTCTCAGGCTGGACATCTGGTTCCCTGTTATCTAGGGAAGAGGGCAGTGCTCCCTCAGTTATGGTCCCTCAGGAATTCGTCACCTCTCACTGCATTCTCTGGGGCCTCAATTTCTGCTGCTTTCTTCTTTCCTTTCACCTTGGCTTCTGATAGCACATGAGAAACACTCGCACATCAGCCAGCCTTGGCAAGGTGACAGGTATGGTAAAAGCAATCCCAGGAAGGCTCTTCCGTTACTGTGCATGGCGGACTTTACACACCTGGCTGGAGCACTGTGCGGGCTTCAACAGGAAGAGTGACTGTATCAGGGAGAGAACAGAGTGGAGGGACCAGCAGTTAGCGTAACGGCTATGTCGCGGAACTCCCATGTAGTAAACCACGGTTCGAGTCCCAGACCCGGTGCGTGTGTGCCCAAGATCCCAAGAGAATGGAAGAGAAGGGATTGCAGCATGGCCATACCCCCCTAGAGGTGATTTCTCGCTTTCTGTCGCTCTGTCTCTCTCTGTCTTTCTGGCGAGCGCACGTGCCCTACAGAGGGCACCTCTAAAAAAAATGGAAACTGTCAAATATACACTCAATATTCAGAAGGCACTCCTACACTAGTTGGTAAGTTCCCTATCATTGGATCTGAACAAATGGCCTTCCTATAAAAACTTGCTTCTCAAATCCACTGGGCTACAGCGGGTATGGATTTGGGCTACAGCGGGTATGGATTTGGGCTACAGCGGGTATGGTCTGGCAACAGCTTGCTGGAGCTTCGGTTCACTGAGCAGGTCATTTCATTTAGGAGCTGGGTCCACCCTGAAACGCAAAGGCGCATGTAGGGCCGGCAAGCCGTCGCTGATCCTTTCATCAGGCGTGTGTCCCTGGGCGGCTCGCCGTTCCCCGTCCCCACGGAGGGCGTCCCAGGCCTCAGTAGAGGCCACGCCGTCCCGTGGGGTGGGTAGGGGCGCGGCCAGAACTGTGGGCCACTGTGAGGGGCACGGGTGCTGGCCGGTGGAGACGCGCAGGGCTTCAACGGAGACTCGGATCCATCAGGATGCCCAGCCCGACGCGGTGAGAAGACCGCGGCACAACCTTCGCCGCCTAGGAGGGGGAGCCGAGGAACGCTATCCGCCCGAGGGCACTCAGCTAGTCCGCTGCAGAGCCGGCACCAGAACCCAGGTCTCCTGTCTCCCGATGGCTATTCTCTCTCAGCCCTGCCGCTCTCAGCCTCATCCACCCCACTCACCCTCTCCCCGACCTCCTTTTCCTCAAGCTGGCGGGACGAGTCCCAGCGTTACCAGAGTTTTCCCGACTGGGGTTCCGCGGCCCCGACTGGGCCTCCTCTGCGCATGCGCACAGCGCCCGGTGCGGCCTCCCCCTTACCCTAAGAACTACACTTCCCAGCAGGCAATGGGAAACTCGCACATGCAAATTAAGTACGAAGAGCGGGAGGGCCAATCTGAACCGGAGCCGGTGCTCCACGCCGCACTGGCCGCCGCTCTGGCCACTGCTCAGCCGAGAGCCCCGCCAGCTCCGCCCCCCAGCCTGGGAGGGCCGAGCGGGTGGGCGGAGCCACGATGCTGGAGGCTGAGCGCAGCGGGGGGCGGGACCTACCCCAGCCGGCGCGATGTGGCTCTCCGTGGCACTGCTGCTGGCGCTGCTGCTGCTGGTGCTTAGCAGAGTTTACCAGGGGCTGTTCGCTGGCAGCTCCACGAACCCCTTCAAAGAGGACGTCAAGCGGCCACCCGCACCCCTGGTGACCGACAAGGAGGCCAGGAAGAGGGTTCTTAAACAAGGTCAGCGGGAGGGACCCTGGGGTCCTAGGCTGCGCTCAGGCATTCTTGCGAGTTGCGTTCTCATTCGGGCAGGCTAAGCCTTTGGCAGACCCGGGCCTCGGTTTCCCCATATTTAAAGGCTGCGAGGGTTTCCTGGCCCTTGGAGACATCCGATTGTAGTGTCAGCTATTGACGAGAACTTTCACCGAAGTAGGCCCGGGCAGTATTCCGAAGGGTGAGGGCGGTGTCCTTGGCGGGGTAAGTCTAGGCATAGCCGAGTGCCCGCCCCGCTACTTGGAGTTCCCGCAGGTCACAGGACAGATTAGACACCTTTATCCTTTTTGCCTCTAGGACTTCCCCTTTCGCCTATCCTTCCTTTCCAGCTCAGGAGCGTGGGAGAGTTGCACAGACATCTCTCCAAATCTGCATGTAGGAAACTTCATTTTTACCTGTCAAGTGGTTTTACAGGTTATTCTTGGTCCCAAATCCGTGGATTGAACCCTGGTTCTAAAACTTTGAAAGAGGTTCAACAGGGTGCCCAGGTTCAGAGCCTGCTGTCCTCTTTTATGTGTATGTATATGTATGTATATACACGTGTATATACATTTATTTTTTTGAGAGGTTTTTGCTATAGGGCATGTGCTCTCGCCAGAAAGACAGAGAGA